GCTTGATTTGCTTTGGATTTTGGTCCAAACTTCCATAGATTCATAAACAGATCTGAACTCAGTTCAGTTTCTTGGATAGATCTTCAGAGATGCGTATCAATCTTGGAGATGTCCTCTCTGAATTTTAGTTGGTTGGGCAAAGGCTACATTTACTTTGGGTTTTGGTCCAAACATCTAAGGATCTATCAAAGTGGTTGAACCTTGGATAGATCTTCAAAGTTGGGGATGTCTTCCTGGATTTCAGTTGGAACTTTGAAGGAGAAAGGACAGATCTCAGAGATGATTATCAATCTTGGAGATGTCCTCTCTGGATTTTAGTTGGTTGGGTAAAAGCAAGATTTGCTTTGGGTTTTGGTCTGAACTTCCATAGATTCATAAACAGGTCTGAACTCAGTTCAGTTTCTTGGATAAATCTTCAAAAATAGGCATCGGCTTTGGATTGGTCCGTTCTGGATTTTAGTTTGCTTTGGGTTTGGGTCCAAACTTCCAAGGATCTATCAAGGCTGCTGGACTTGATTCAGTTTTTTGGGGTAGATCTTCAAAGGTGAGCATCAACTTTAGAGACATTCACTCTGGATTTTAGTCAGGACTTTGAAGAAGGTAGATAGACCTTCAGAATTGTTTATTGATCTTGGAGGTGTCTGATCTGCATTTTAATCAAAACTTAAAATGAATTAGGATAGATCTTCAAGATTGCTTATTGACCTTGGAGATGTCCGCCTTGGATTTGAGAGCTTTGAAGGAGCTAGGACAGATCTTCAAAGTTAGGTATCAATCTTGAGATGTCTGCTTTGGGTTTTAGTTGGAACTTCGAAGGTGTTAGGAGAGATCTTCAAAATTGTTTATCGCCTGCCTTGGATTGTAGTCAGAAGATGCCAAGGGCTCTTGAACCCACCCCAAGGGTCCTCCTTGGACCTCACTTGCCTTCTCTTAGGTCCAATCCACCGAAAGGCCCTATTTTTGCTTCTGTTCACCTTTCTGTGACTCCAATTTGGTGAGAAATACCTTTAGCCGACCAGACCTTTGTTTTGAAACAGCGCTCATACTCAGACAGGGATGTGCTGAGGGTTTATCTCCCCTTTTTGTGTGATTCCTGACTCATGCCTTGTGCCCTGACTATGCCCTGTGTCCAATGCCGTCCCCAGACATTGTGCTGCCTGAGGCCAGGGTGAGAGGGTTCGGAGGTTGCTTCCAAGTCCCTCCTTCCTGCATTTGGAAGTCCCAGTAATGTTAATGTTGGATCTCATTGCACTTGGATTTCTCAAAATCTTTTGGGTTAAACTCTTGGGCTTTACAGTTCAGACTACAACACAGAACAGATTCCCTATACTCAAAAGCAATAGCAAAGCATCATTGAGCAAGATCCTATATATGCCCAAGATACATTGGCAATGGCCAATTGTGCATCCCATGGAGGACACAGTACCTTTAAAGTTCGGACTACATCCGAGAATGGATTCCCTATACTCAAAAGTAAATAGCAAAATATACTTGAGCAAGAGCCTATATATGTCCAAGATATGCTAGAGATGCCCATATGTGCATCCAACGGAGGACAAAGTAGATTTAAAGTTTGGACTACAACCCAGAACGGATTCCCTATACTCAAAAGTAAATACCAACGTATACTTGAGCAAGATCCTATATATATCCAAGATATGCTGAAGACTCCCAGTTACCAGTATGTGTCCCATGGAGGACATGGTAGCCATGTTCGGAGTACAACCCGGAACAGATTCCATATACTCAAAAGCAATATCAAAGCATACTTGAGTGAGATTCTATATATGCCCAAGATATGCTGAAGATGCCGAGTTATGTGTCCCATGGAGGACATGGCAGCTTTAATGTTTGGACTAAAACCAGGAACGGATTCCCTATACTCAAAAGTAAATAGCGAAGTATACTTGAACGAGAGCCTATATATGTCCAAGATATGCTAGAGATGCCCAGATGTGCATCCAGTGGAGGACAAAGTAAAGTTCAGACTACAACCTGGAACGGAACCTCTATACCCAAAAAGCAATAGCAAAGCATTGTTGAGAGAGATCCTATATATGCTCAAGATATGCTGGAGATGCCCAGTTATGTGGCCATGGAGGACAAAGTAACTTTAAAGTTCAGACTACAATCTGGAACGGATTCACTATACTTAAAAACAAATAACAAAGCATAGTTGAGCAAGATTTTTTATATCAGTGGTTCTCAACCTTGTGTCCCCAGATGTTTTTGGCCTACAACTCCCAGAAATCCCAGCCAGTTTACCAGCTGTTAGGATCTCTGGGAGTTGAAGGCCAAAAACATCTGGGGACCCCAGGTTGAGAACCACTGCTATATATGCTCAAGATATGCTGGAGATGCCCAATTATGTATCCCATGAAGGACACGGTAGCTTTAATGTTTTGACTACAACCCGGAACAGACTCCCTATACTCCAAAGCAATAGCAAATCATACCTGAGCAAGATCCTATATATGCCCAAGATGTGCTGAAGATGCCCAGTTATGTGCCCATGCAGGACATGGTAGCTTTAATGTTTGGACTACAACCCAGAACATATTATCTATAAAAAGTAAATAGTAACGTATACTTGAGCAAGATCCCATATATGCCCAAGATATGCTGAAGATGCCCAGTTATGTGTCCCATGAAGGACAAAGTAGTTTTAAGGTTCAGACTACAACCCGGAACGGGTTGTAGTCTGCCTTTCTATATGCCTTCCCAGTCTCTGGGCTTGGCATCCCCGGAAGATCCTATCGATTCCATAAAAGCCCGATGCGATCTACCTGGGTGTCATTTCGGGTGCTGAGTGATCCCCGCCCTCTTTAATGAGTTTGGCGTCTTAATTGATTCATCATCCCACATGACCTGGAATCGCGTCCAACGCAATCGGAGCAGAGTCGCATTGCAAAAACATTCCTGAGTGTTATCTCGAACTCTTCGCCGCAGACATCTGCCTGGTTGGTGCAGTCTAACCAAGTGGCCAAAACCATAAATACTCTTGAGTTTTATTATTTATCCTCGTTAGAGTCCTCATTAGAGGTTTCCTCACTTGACATAAAATAGACTACATGGGTTTTTCCTTAGTATTAGGATTTTAACTTCAGCATAGAACAAAATTGATTTCTTAAGTCTTCATTGCTGATGCCAGGACTGAAATCTATCTTTCTATCTAGTTTATATTGGAGTGATTAACAAATAAAAGGAAGTTCAACCGGGACAAATGCAAATGCACTTAGGCAGAAAAAATGAAATGCAAAGAGACAGAATGGGGGACGATGCCTGGCTCGATAGCCATTCGTATGGAAAAGATCTTGGAGTCCTCGTGGGGAGGAAGATGAACATGAGCCAACAATGTGATGCAGCGGCAAGAAAACCCAATGGGATTGTGGCCTTCATCAATAGGAGTCAAGTGTCTAGATCCAGGGAAGTCATGCTCCCCATCCTCTATTCTGCCTTGGTCTGACCACTTTACCTGGAATCATACTGTGTCCAATTCTGGGAACCACAATTGAAGGGAGATGTTGACTCTAAGCTGGAATGTGTCCAGAGGAGGGCAACTCAAAGGATCAAGGGTCTGGAGAACAAGCCCTATGAGGAGCGGCTGAAAGAGCTGGGCATGTTTAGCCTGCAGAAGAGAAGGCGGAGAGAAGGCATTATGAGGGTCATGGATCAAGATGTGAGGGGAAGTCATAGGGAGGAGGGAGCAGGCTTGCTTTCTGCTGCCCTGGAGACTCGTGCGCAATGGAACAGTGGCTTCAAACTAAAAGAAAGAAGATTCTACCTGAACATGAGGAAGAACTTCCTGACTGTGAGAGCTGTTCAGCAGTGGAACTCTCTGCCCGTAGTAAGATGTAGGCTCCTTCTTTGGAGGTTTTTAAACAGAAGCTGGATGGCCATCTGTTGGGGGTGCTTTGAATGTGATTTTCCTGCTTCTTGGCAGAAGGGGGTTGGACTGGATGGCTCACAAGGTCTCTTCCAACTCTAGGATTCTATGATTCTATCTATCTAATTTGTATTAGAACAAATAACAAATAGAACTTAAACCTATACATGTATCATCTATCTATCTAGTATATATTCAAGTGATTAACAAATAGAAATTAGACCAATATATCTATCTATTGTCTACCTAATTTATATTAAAACTATTAGCAAATATAACTTAAATCTATATATGTATTATATTTATTTATTTACTGTATTTGTATACCGCCTTTCTCAGCCCTTCGGTGACTCAACATTTATCTATATTATCTACCAAATTCATATTAGTGTGATTAACAAATACAGTATAAAACCATATTGCCTATCTAATTTATATTAGAGCACTGAACAAATAGAATTTTAATCTATGTATGTATCAATCAATCAATTAATCATCTATCGATCATCAATCGATCATTAACCTATGAAGATGGTGAGATTGAGAGAAGGGTCTCTCCAGAGGACTTTAAGGCTGAGGGTCTGGAGAACAAGCCCTATGAGGAGTGGCTTAAAGAGCTGGGCATGTTTAGCCTGCAGAAGAGAAGGCTAAGGGGAAACATGATAGCCACGTATAAATACGTGAGAGGGGAAGTCATACGGAGGTGGGAGCAAGCTTGTTTTCTGCTGCCCTGGAGACTAGGATGCGGAGCAATGGCTTCAAACTACAAGAAAGGAGATTCCACCTGAACATTAGGAAGAACTTCCTGACTGTGATAGCCGTTCAGCAGTGGAACTCTCTGCCCTGGAGTGTGGTGGAGGCTCCTTCTTTGGAAGTTTTTAAACAGAGGCTGGATGGCCATCTGTTGGGGGTGCTTTGAATGCAATTTTCCTGCTTCTTGGCAGAATGGGGTTGGACTGGATGACCCATGAGGTCTCGTCCAACTTTAGGATTCTATGACTTCTAGATTGCCAGATGGCTTAGATCTGGGTCATATAGGATTTTATGGATTCAGAAGAGGGCATTAGTGCAAGGAGGAGAGCTATTGTTCACGGCAGTGTATCTGTCTTTCTAGGATTGTGACGGTTGTGCTGGTGGTGGTCAGTGTGGTCTGGATCCCGATCCTGCAGAGCTCCAGCAGCGGTCAGCTCTACATCTACATCCAGTCGGTCACCAGCTACCTCTCTCCGCCCGTCACCGCAGTCTTCCTCCTGGCTGTGTTTTGGAAGAGAGCCAACGAAACGGTAAAGCCTGGAAACTGGGGTTGGCTCTTGCAGGAACTAAAACTCCCAGGGACAGCTAGCCATGTCATCTATCATGTATCCCCCCTCTCTCTTTATTATTATTATTATGCTTATCTTTATATATAACCTGCTTTTTCTCTCCACATCCTTCCTATCTGTCTAGTCTACCTAAAGTATCTAGTATCTCCATTTATGTATCCTCTCTCTCTCTTTCTTCATCCATCCATCCACCCACCTATCTGCCTGCCTATCTATCTAGTCTACCTATGAGGTATCTCTATGTACCAGTATCTAGTATCTGTCTGACCATCCGTCCATCTACCCATCTGCTTGCCTTGCCCAACTAGTCTATCTATCTGGTATCTGTATTCATGTATCATCTATCTAGTATCCATCCATCCATCCATCCATTTACCTATCTATCTGCCTATCTATATATCTAGTCTATCTGGTATCTTTATTTATGTATCATCCATCCAGCTATGTATCTATGTATTTCTATGTATCATCAATCTATCTTTCTCTCTCTATCCATCCATCCGTATATCTACTTATCTGCCCACCGATCTATCTAGTCTACCAATTTAGTATTTGTATCATCTCACTCTCTCTACCAACTTACCTATTTTAGTCTACCTATCTAGTATCTGTATTTATGTATTATCTATCTATCTATCTATCTATCTATCTATCTATCTATGTATCAATTATCTATCTATCTATGTATCAATTATCTATCTATCTATCATGTCTATTTATGTATCAATTATCTATCTATCTATCATGTCTATTTATGTATCATCTATCTATCTATGATGTCTACTTATTTATCATCTATCTATCTATCTATCTATCTATCTATCTATCTATCTACCTATCAAGATATTATCTATTTAGCCATTCATCCATCTATCTATCTATCTATCTATCTATCTATCTATCTATCTATCTATCTATCTATCTATGATGTCTACTTACGTATCAATTATCTATCTATCTATCTAGTCTACTTATGTATCATCTATCTATCTATCTATCTATCTATCTATCTATCATGCCTAGTTATGTATCAATTATCTATCTATCTATCTATCTATCTATCTATCTATCTATCTATCTATCTATCTATCTATCTATCTATCTATCTATCATGTCTATTTATGTATCATCTATCTATCTATGATGTCTACTTATTTATCATCTATCTATCTATCTATCTATCTATCTATCTATCTATCTATCTATCAAGATATTATCTATGTAGCCATTCATCCATGTATCTATCTATCTATCTATCTATCTATCTATCTATCTATCTATCTATCTATCTATCTATGATGTCTACTTACGTATCAATTATCTATCTATCTATCTAGTCTACTTATGTATCATCTATCTATCTATCTATCTATCTATCTATCTATCTATCTATCTATCTATCTATCTATCTATGATGTCTACTTATGTATCAATTATCTATCTATTTATCTATCTATCTATCTGTCTAGTCTACTTATGTATCATCTATCTATCTATCTATCTATCTATCTATCTATCTATCCTTACGTATCAATTATCTATCTATCTATCTAGTCTACTTATGTATCATCTATCTATCTATCTATCTATCTATCTATATCTATCTATCTATCTATCTATGATGTCTACTTATGTATCAATTATCTATCTATTTATCTATCTATCTGTCTAGTCTACTTATGTATCATCTATCTATCTATCTATCTATCTATCTATCTATCTATCTATCTATCTATCTATCAAGATATTATCTATCAATCCAACCATCCATCCATCTATCTATGATGTCTACTTATGTATTATCTATCTATCTATCTATCTATCTATCTATCTATCTATCTATCAAGATATTATCTATCCATCCATCCATCCATCCATCCATCTATCATGCCTAGTTATGTATCAATTATCTATCTATCTATCTATCTATCTATCTATCTATCTATCATGTCTATTTATGTATCATCTATCTATGATGTCTACTTATGTATCAATTATCTATCTATCTAGTCTACTTATGTACTATCTATCTATCTATCTATCTATCTATCTATCTTCTATCTATCTATCTATCTATCTATCTATCTATCTATCTATGATGTCTATTTATGTATCAATTATCTATCTATGATGTCTACTTATGTATCATCTATCTATCTATCTATCTATCTATCTATCTATCTATCTATCAAGATATTTTCTATCTATCTATTCATCCACCTATCTATCTATCCATCTGTCTATCTATCTCTATGTAACACCTATACCTACCTATCCAATTTATATTAAGGACTTTACAAACAAAACTTAAACGTTCCATGAATAATTGGGTTGTTTCTACTCCTGAGATGAAAAATAATATTTCACCTTCATTTGGTGCAGCTGAGAAACCCATCAGCTAAAACAGCTTGCCTTACTGATAGAGCTATACCATGTGTGTAGTCCCCGCATAACTTCTACCTTCTTTTGGGCTCCATCTGGGTTTCCAGGGGGCCTTTTGGGGCCTAATGCTGGGCTTGGTCCTGGGCCTGATCCGCATGGCGCTTGAGTTTGCCCACCCGGCCCCCAGCTGCGGCGTCCTGGACACTCGTCCGTCCATCGTGAAGGACATACACTACCTTCACTTTGCCGTCTTCCTCTGCCTGCTGACTGCGGCCATCGTTGTGGGCATCAGCTGGTGGACTACATCTCCCAGTGAATCCCAGGTAAACCTTATATCACAATAAATGGACAACCCAATAATTAGTTGCCTGGAGTAACTAGCATTAATTCTCCAACTCACCATTTTCATAACTACCAGGAGTGGGTGTTTTGTAAAGCCAATGGCCCTTGACCACTCAAGGCCAAACCATACTTTGAATTGCAACATGGGTTTAGGATACAAAGGATGTAGCTACAAGCATGGGCAAAGTTTGACCCTCCAGGTGTTTTGGACTCCAACTCCCACCATTCCTAACAGCCTCAGGCCCCTTCCTTTCCCCCCTCAGCCGCTTACGCAAACTTGGACCCTCGGGTATTTTGGACTCCAACTCCCACCATTCCTAACAGCCTCAGGCCCTTTCCTTTCCCCCCTCAGCCGCGTAAGCTTACGTAAGCTCAGCTGAGGGGGGAAAGGAAAGGGCCTGAGGCTGTTAGGAATGGTGGGAGTTGGAGTCCAAAATACCCGAGGGTCCAAGTTTGCCCATGCCCAAGCTACACTGTTAGAACGAATGCAGCTAGACACCACTTTGGTATGATCCCATGTCATGCAATCCGTCGTTTTGCAAAGCCTTCTCTGCCAAAGAGTGCTGGTGCTTCGTCAAACTACAACTCCCAGGATTGCAAAGCATTGAACCATAACAGTTAAAGTGAGCATTCCTTCTGCAGCGCAGATATTAATCCTTTAGGGAAGCACCGCCTCGGCTTTTCCGTCAAGAGCTTTGCCATTCTGTCATCGAAATGATGTATGGCATGTTTCCTAACAAGTAATTACAAGCAAATACTACTCAACCCAAGGCTTTTATTTTGGTTTTTTCCTTTTACATGTACAATGCAAGATAAAGGATGTGACTTGGTGGACCCTGAAGCACCCAGACCCACCTTCTCTCGCCGACCCGTCCAAATCGCTGCCTGAGAACGGCTTCTGCGGATCGGAGAAAAACGGTACAGAATTGAAAAGAAAACAGCTTTGGTGAAGTAATCAAAGTATTGTTCAAGGCTATGGAGTCCTGGGAGTTGGAGTTTCATGAGGACTCAATACTGCTCTGCTAAAGAGTGGTAAACTATAACTCCTATGGGTTGCTGTGAATTTTCCGGACTGTATGGCCATGTTCCAGAAGCATTCTCTCCTGACGTTTCACCTACATCTATGGCAGGCATCCTCAGAGGTTGTGAGGTCTGTTGGAAACTAGGAAAATTAGGTTTATATATCTGTGGAATAATGTCCAAGAACTCTAGTCTGCTTCAGGCAAGTGTGAATGTTGCAATTAGCCAACTTGATTAGCATTTAATGGCCTTGCAGCTTCAATGCCTGGGAGAAAGAACTCTTGTCTAGGTTCTTGTGGGTTTTTTCGGGCTATAGGGCCATGTTCTAGAGGCATTTCTCCTGACATTTCGCCTGCCTCTATGGCAAGCATCCTCAGAGGTAGTGAGGTCTGTTTTAACTTTGAATGCATTTTAATCATGTTTATAATGTTGTAATTTTAATCCAAATCATTTTAGGTGAATGTATTGTCGAAGGCTTTCATGGCCGTAATCACTGGGTTGTTGTAGGTTTTTTCAGGCTATATGGCCATGTTCTAGAGGCATTCTCTCCTGACGTTTCGCCTGCATCTATGACAAGCATCCTCAGAGGTAGTGAGGTCTGTTGGAACTAGGAAAATGGGTTTATATATCTGTGGAATGACCAGGGTGGACAAAGTCTTGTGAATGTTTCAACTGACCACCTTGATTAGCATATGATGGCCTGGCAGTTGTTTGGTGTGGCTTGTTGGTGCCTGCGGCAATCTTTTGTTGAAAGGTGATTAGATGTTGTTTTTTTTCTGGTTTGTTTTCCTCTCTACAGCAAAACAGAGAGAGGAAACAACCAGGCACATCTTAACACCTCTCAACAGAAGATTTTCCCAGGCTCAGGCAGGCCTTCAAATGCTAATGAAGGTGGTCAGTTGAAACATTCACACCTAGCTCCAGCAGAGAAGAGCTCTTTGCCCCACCCCAGCCATTCCACAGATATATAAACCCATTGTCCTATTTCCAACAGACCTCACTACCTCTGAGGATGCTTGCCATAGATGCTGGCGAAACGTCAGGAGAAATGCCTCTAGAACATGGCCCTATAGCCTGAAAAAACCCACAAGAACCTAGTGATTCCAGCCATGAAAGCCTTCAACAATACATTGAAATGAGACTCTTGCCAAGGATTGGAAGCTCACTCTGACCTGGGCTGGCTTTGAACTCATGACCTTTCGGTCAGAAGTGATTTTAATGCAGCTTACTCCAGCCAGCTGCGCACACTTTCACACTTGCTACAAACAGACAAGAGTTCTTTCTCTCATCTCAGACATTCCACAGATATATAAACCCCACTTGCGTAGTTCCCAACAGACCTCACAACCTCTGAGGATGCCTGCCATAGATGTGGGTGAAACGTCAGGAGAGAATGCTTCTGAACATGGCCATACAGCTCGGAAGACTCACAGCAACCCAATGATTCTGGCGACTAAAGCCTTCGACAATACATAAAACTCCCTTGATTCCATTGCAGGAGGCATGGCACTTAAAGGGGTGCCAAACCGCATTAATTCCACAGTGTAGATGTAACTATTGTAAGAATTGAAAAAGCATATATATGAAGAGGGAAGGAAAGAATAATATAATGCAAAGCTGTATGATACAGTGGCAAAACAAATCGTAAAAACAAACAAAACCACGACATATTGCAAAACAAATGGAGCAAGGCATGTAATCTAAATATGAAGCTACAAAATAGCTTCAAGTAAACATAGCTTGGACATATCTTATCCCAAGCATGGACAAACTTTGGCCCTCCAGGTGTTTTGGACTTCAACTCCCACAATTCCTAACAGCCCACCGGCTGTTAGGAATTGTGGGAGTTGAAGTCCAAAACACCTGGACGGCCAAATTTTGCCCATGCCTGCCTTATCTGGAAATCCAATAAGAGTGGCTGAGATGGTGGCACTTTTGCTTTTCAATGTACATTTGTGCACAAAATGACTCAAAATAGTATATACAATGACTTTCAGGCTACGTATCCAATCTATGAAGCGGATTTCATGTTCAGACATGTGTCCAATTTCCTTGATGTTTCAGTATGTTCCAAAATCTGACATCCAAAACAAGTATTTCCATGTGTCATGTGTTGTCGAAGGCTTTCATGGCCGGAATCACTGAGTTGCTGTGAGGTTTCCGGGCTGTCTGGCCATGCTCAAGAAGCATTCTCTCCTGACATTTCTCCCACACCTATGGCAGGCATCCTCAGAGGTTGAGAGGTCTGTTGGAAACTCAACAAGTGGGGTTTATATATATGTGGAATAATGTGGGAGAAAGGACTCTTGTCTGCTTGAGGCAAGTGTCAATGTTGCAGACAAGAGTTCTTTGAGGCAAGTATAACTTGCAATTTTTTAAATATTTTAAACTATTACATTTGGCCCGGCCATAGGTTTTTAAATGCTTGTGTGTTACTGTTTATTTTTTGTTTATGTGATTTATATTAACTGTATTGTATTGATTTTTTGGTTATTGCTTTTGTTTATTTTTTTATTTATTTTTTTATTGAGTTTTGTATCAATAGTGAACATATAACAGTAACAGTAACGTACCGTACGTTACCCATGACAAACAATAACGCACAGTACAAACACCCATGACAAACATGACGAACAAAGTAATACAAAACACAGCATAATTTTCGTGCATAACATCGAATTGGTATATGTATATATGTTTCTTCGAGTTCTTTAATTGTCCCCCCTAATCCTCCCCCCTTGATTATTCTTACTTACTACCTAGTTTGGTTAGTTTCTTCTTGCTCCTTTTCCCCTTTCGTCCCCCCCTCCCCTTTACTTCTTCCTTAAGGGTGGTAGGGGATGATAGGGGGTAGTGGTGAGGGGGTAGGGGAAACGGATTCACAGGGGGTTTGAGTTCACTGGTTCTAAATAAGGGAGACTTTAAGGTATTTGAAGTCTTAGGATTAAGTTACCCGGGGAGGGGGGGGGAAGGGGAAAAGTGAGACTTGATTATAACTATACCCACCACCTTGAATAACCCTAGTGACATTAAAAAGTACTTCCAAGGATATTCTGGACAATAATTATTGTAGTGGGCAGTAATTTGCCCTTCTATTCTGTTTGTTTGTCATACGTCGGATGGTTGTTATCATTCCCTTGAGAGCTTTCGCTATTCCATACTGATATTAATTCCGTTGTTTGATCTGTTGATGTATTCTATAAAGCTTTCCCAGTTAGTTCTTGGTGGTTTAGGTATGTTTTGAGATATTTTATGGGTTAGGATATCCATATTCATTATATCCCATACTTTTAACAACCAGTGGTCTATCGAGGGGATTTCTTTTGACTTCCAGACCTTAGCTATAACTGTTCTGGCTGCTGTGGCAAAGCAGAAGAACAATTTATCGGAGTTTTTATTTTGGAGGGGGTCTGTAATTCCCAGCAACATTGCTTCTGGTTTAAGTTTTATTTTCTCTCCTAGTATTATCTGTATAATTTTGTTGACTTTTTGCCAGAAGTTTTTTATTCTCCTACACTTCCACCATGTGTGGATATAGCTTCCTTTGTGTCTCCCACATTTCCAACATGTGTTTTTAATTTTCCCCTTGCTGAATTTGGATATCTTGTCCGGTGTATAATACCATCTGTAAAATTGTTTATACCAGTTTTCTTTCATCTCAGTTGAATAAGTGTATTTGATTTTTTGGCGCCAGACCTCCTCCCACTCTGTCATATTTATTGGTCTACCTATATCTTTGGACCACTGAATCATGTTGTGTTTGACCTGGTCTATTGCTTTTGTTTATTGATGTACTGTGAGCTTGGCCTCATGTAAGCCGCACCGAGTCCCTTGGGGAGATGGTAGCGGGGTATAATTTTTATTATTATTATTATTATTATTATTATTATTATTATTATTATTATTATTGTTGTTGCAATTGGCCACCTTGGTTAGCATTTAATGGCCTTGCAGCTTCAAAGCCTGGCTGCTTCCTGCTTGGGGGAATCCTTTGTTAGGAGGTGTTGCCTGGCCCTGATTGTCTCCCATCCTGAACATTCCACAGATATTGTTTATGTGATTTATATTAATTGTATTGTATTGATTTTTAGGTTATTGCTTTTGTTTATTGATGTACTGTGGGCTTGGCCTCATTGTAAGCCGCACGGAGTCCCTTGGGGAGATGATAGCGGGATATAAAGTATTATTATTATTATTATTATTATTATTATTATTATTATTATTGCAATTGGCCACCTTGGTTAGCATTTAATGGCTTTGCAGCTTCAAAGCCTGGCTGGTTGCTGCCTAGGGGAATCCTTAGTTGGGAGGTGTTACCTGATTGTCTCCCATCCTGGACGTTCCACAGATATATAAACCCCATTTTCGTAGTTTCCAACATACCTTGCAACTTCTGAGGATGCCTGCTATAGATGTGGGCAAAACGTCAGGAGAGAATGCTTCTGGAACATGGCCATACAGCCCGGAAAACTCACAGCAACCCAGTGATTCTGGCCATGTTTATAAACTGAATTTAGCTCAAAGGATTTGCTGGCCAAGGAATAATGGGACTATTATATAGAAAATCTTCCTTCTTTTTCTTTTTTCTTTAACAGATCCTCCCAAAAAAGAACTTTGCAATGTTTTCATGAAAACGGAAAGAGCCCCAGTGTCTAGATCCGTCTTCTGGTCTCGGTTCTGCAACGTAAATGCAATAATCCTCATTTCCATCAATGTCTTTTTCTACGCCTATTTTGCTTAAGGGACATCCTGTATCCAAAAAAGCAAAAACTCCCTTTTAAATGCAAGGACGTATGAATACAGAACTCCATGATATTCTATGAGACTTCCATGACATTAAGAAGACTAATTAGTGCAATTTTTTTGGGAACAGGGCAGTCGTTGGTGGGAGCATCTGCACTGTCTAACATCACTTGCCTAGTTTCCAACTGACCTTACAACCTCTGAGGATGCCTGCCATAGATGTAGGTGAAACGTCAGGAGAGAATGCTTCTGGAACATGACCAGACAGCCTGCAAAACTCACAGCAACCCAGTGATTCCAGCCATGAAAGCATTATTATTTATTATTTACTCCATTTGTATACCGCATTTATCAGCCTGGGACGGCGACTCATTCGACAACACATCAAATTAATAGAGTTTGACACCACATTATCTGCTTTTGCTCAATGCTATGGAATCTTTGGAGTTGTAGATTTATAAGCCCTGCCGAAGAGTATCAAACTACAACTCCCAGGAATCTACAGTACTGAGCCATGGCTGTTCAAGTGGCATCAAACTGCATTAATCCTACAGTGCAGATGCACCCTGTGCCAATGCTTTGCAAACCATCCTGGTTTCCAAAACGTCCGGCAAAGGTCAAAGAGGCAATTGCTGGAGCTTCCATCCAGGAGTAGATGTTTACATTGGCCTTCTTGCAATGACCTGAGATAAAGAACCTGACATTTGGAGGAAAAACAAGACGCTTGAGCCCAATATTATTCAGCAAGAGAGAGAAAATGCAGTCTAGTCTCTGTTCAGCAAGGATTGTCCAGATTACTCCTCTGCCATCCAACTATTTTGGCTGCTTTTAAAATGTCCCGGTTTATCTCCCCCCTTCTCCTCCTTCATCCTCAGCTTCCTTCCATTGCTGCAAAGTGGAAAACCAGGTTTGCAACTGGAGTGGATTTTTGTCCTTCCTAGTCAGCTCCAGCAAAAGCAAACTGCTGAAGCCTCTGCTAGAATGCATCTACACTGTCGAATCAGTGCAGTTTGACACCACTTTGGTTACCATAACTCAATGCTATGGAATCCCAGATGGTCCAGTTTCTCTGCCAAGGCGTTATGGTTCCTCACTGAACTGCTGTCTCCAGGATTCTGTTGCACAGAGCTATGGCAAAGAAGACTCAAGACCTTGCAAAACTACAACTCTCATGTTTGCATGGCATTCAGATATGGCAAAGAAAGCTCAAGATCTTGTAAAACTACAACTCCCAGCATTGCACGGCTTTCTGCCATGGCAAAGAAGGCTCAAGACCTTGTAAAACTACAACTCTCATGTTTGCATGGCATTCAGATATGGCAAAGAAAGCTCAAAATCTTGCAAAACTACAACTCCCAGCATTGCACGGCTTTCTGCCATGGCAAAGAAGGCTCAAGACCTTGTAAAACTACAACTCTCATGTTTGCATGGCATTCAGATATGACAAAGAAAGCTCAAAATCTTGCAAAACTATAACTTCCAGCCTTCCACGGCTTTCTGCCATGGAAAAGAAGGCTCAAGACATTGTAAAAGTACAACTATCATGTTTACATGGCATTCAGATATGGCAAAGAAAGCTCAAAATCTTGCAAAACTATAACTTCCAGCCTTGCACGGCTTTCTGCCATGGCAAAGAAGGTTCAAGACCTTGCAAAACTACAACTCCCAGGATTTCATCACATTAAGCCATGGCAGAGAAAACTCAAGACCTTGCAAACTACTACTCCAGCATTGAGCCATGGCAGAGAAGGCTCATGACCTTGCAAAACTAAAACTCCCAGGATTCCATCACATTAAGCCATGACAGAGAAGGCTCAAGATCTTGCAAAACTACAACTCCTAGGATTCCACCATATTAAGCCATGGCAGAGAAAGCTGAAGACCTTGCAAAACTACAACTCCTAGCATTGCACGGCATGAAGCCATGGCAAATAAGGTTCAAGACCTTGCAAAACTACTACTCCCAGGATTGAGCCATGGCAGAGAAGGCTCAAGACCTTGCAAAACTACTACTCCCAGGATTGCATGGCATTCAGACATGGCAAAAGAAGTTCAATATCTTGTAAAACTACTACTCCCAGGATTGCATGGCTCTGAGCCATGGCAGAGAAGGCTCAAGATCTTGCAAAACTACAACTCCCAAGATTCCATCACATTAAGTCATGGCAGAGAACGCTCAAGACCTTGCCAAATGACTATTCCCAGGAATGCATGGCATTGAGCCATGCCAGTTCAACCAAAGTCTGGACAGTCTTTGGCAGGGAAGGGTCAAGATACTGCAGAACTACAACTCCTATTCATTTGACAGTGTAGATGCTCTCTAGCCAAGGGTTGGAAGTGATTGATTTAGAAGCACCCATAGTTTTGCATCTTGCGGTCATGAGTCCAAAGAGCTTGAAAACCAAAGTTTGGTATGAAAAACATTTTCCCACCGATGTCCATCATTTTCTGGAAGGAGATCCAAGAAGGAGAGCCATTGAGGTCTACCAAAGAAGTTCTGGAGATGTTTCGGACAGCTGAACAAACCAGCCTCCCAATTGGTTTTTGGTCAAAAATGGATCACAGGCGCAAGGGGAAGACATAGTTCCGGGGCAAGAGGCCCGTTTTGACCCCGATCTTCCCTTTCCACCAATTGGGGTCGGAAGCGTCCAGGATCTCAAGAACGTCTCCTCTGCGGAAACTCAGCTGGGAAGGGTTTTCGGCCGAGAAATTGAACTGGGCTTGGACGAACTTTGCCTTCTTGGGCTGCGGAAGGAAGAAGAGAAGAGAGACACTGAGTAAGAGGAAATGTAGTTCAACCCAGAGTCAATATTAGAGAGTATCTTACTTTCCCTGCCATGTCTCAGTTCTATAGACTCCTGGGAGTTGTAGTTTGGATTCAATAGCACTGGGCCATGGCCGCGCAAGTAGTGCCAAACTAGAATCATAGAGGTGGAAGAGACCTCGTGGGCCATCCAATCGAACCCCATTCTGCCAAGAAGCAGGACAATTGCGTTCAAAGCATTCCCAACAGATGGCCAACCATAGAAGGAACCTCCACCACACTACAGGGCAGGGAGTTCCACTGCTGAACAGCTCTCACAGTCAGGAAGTTCTTCCTAATGTTCAGATGGAATCTCTTTTCTTGTAGTTTGAAGCCATTGCTCCACGTCCTACTCTCCAGGGCAGCAGAAAACAAGCTTGCGCCCTCCTCCCTGTGACTTCCCCTCACATATTTATACAGGCTATCATGCCATACAATCATATAGTTGGAAGCTTTTAAACAGAGGCTGGATGGCCATCTGTCAGGGGTGCTTTGAATGCAGTATTCCTGCTTCTTGGCAGGGGGTTGGACTGGATGGCTCATGAGATCTCTTCCAACTCTATGAATCTATGATTCTAAGAGACCTCATGGGCCATCCAGTCCAACCCCCCGCCAAGAAGCAGGAAAATCGCATTCAAAGCACCCCTGACAGATGGCCATCCAGCCTCTGTTTAAAAGCCTCCAAAGAAGGAGCCTCCACCACACTCCAGGGCAGAGAGTTCCACTGCTGAACGGCTCTCACAGTCAGGTTCTTCCTCATGTTCAGATGGAATCTCCTCTCTTGTAGTTTGAAGCCATTGTTTTGCGTCCTAGTCTCCAAGGAAGCAGAAAACAAGCTTGCTCCCTCCTCCCTGTGGCTTCCTCTCACGTATTTATATACATGGCTATCATATCTCCTCTCAGCCTTCTCTTCTTCAGGCTAAACATGCCCAGCTCCTTAAGCCGCTCCTCATAGGGCTTGTTCTCCAGACCCTTGATCATTTTAGTCGCCCTCCTCTGAACACATTCCAGCTTGTCAACATCTCCCTTCAATTGTGGTTCCCAGAAGAAATGGACCCTTTGAGAATAGGATTGCTTTTTGTCCTCATTCCATCCACCCCACCCCCCAACTGGGTTTTGGTTTCACCCGAGCACTCTCAGCCTTCTCTTCTTCAGGCTAAACATGCCCAGCTCTTTAAGCCGCTCCTCATAGGGCTTGTTCTCCAGACCCTTGATCATTTTAGTTGCCCTCCTCTGGACACATTCCAGCTTGTCAATATCTCCCTTCAATTGGACACAATATTCCAGGTGTGGTCTAACCAAAGCGGAATAGAGGGGTAGCATGACTTCCCTGGACCTAGACACTATGCTCCTATTGATGCAGGCCAAAATCCCATTGGCTTTTTTTGCCGCCACATCACATTGTTGGCTCATGTTTAACTTGTTGTCCATGAGGACCCCAGAATCTTTTTCACACGTACTGCTCTCGAGCCAGGAGTCTGCAATGGAGAGGGGCACCTGACCTCTTGCATTTCGCCGTGGTCTCGGAGGAAGACCTCCTGCTTCTTGCCGATGCTGTGGCTCCGGTAGAAATCCACCAGTTCGTTGATGGAGTTGAACTTCTCGTCCCAGAGGTGGTACTTCCCTCTCTTCTCCCGGAGGACCTTGAAGTGGAGGACTTCGTCGCTGCAGCTGGAAGGAAAGGAAGCGGAGCAAAGTTAGAAATAGTTCGGTTTAGCCAGGAAAAGTCATTGTTGCTCTTCAAAGGTGCATCCACACTGTCAAATGGATGCAATTGGTCATGAGTTGAACTGCCATGGGAGTTGTAGTTTGAGACCTCAGTGATATTAGGTAGGCTAATCTGTGTGCTTTCTTTGGAAAGTCATCTGAGTTGGAATAGGAGAGCAGTCAGTAGGTGCATTTACCCCAGGCATGGGCAAACTTGGGCCCTCCAGGTATTTTGGACTCCAACTCCCACAATTCCTAACAGCCTACCGGCTGTTAGGAATTGTGGGAGTTGGAGTCCAAAACACCTGGAGGGCCCAAGTTTGCCCATGCCTGATTTCCACTATTGAATGAGTGCCATTTGGTATTTCTTGAGCTGCCATGCTTCATGCTATGGAGTCACGGCAATTTTACAAGGTCTTGAGACTCCTCTACCAAAGAATGCTGGTGCCTCGCCAAACTACAAATCCCAGGATTATATTGCATTGGGCCATGGTGGTTAAAGTGGGGTCAGACTAAATCCATTCTACACTGGGGATGCACCCTCAGTTCAACTAGAATAGACCTAGCGAAATAGTAAGATATACTAATGTGAGATACACACACACACACACACATTATACACACACATACACACACACATTTTAAAAATACATAAAGGTAGAGTAGAGACTTAGGCTGAACCTCTACACTTTCAAAGGCATGCAGCTTGACACCAAAGATATGGAATCCGAGAAGTTGTAGTTTTCCAAGGTCTTGAGGCTTCTGTGGTGCCTTGCCAAACTACAACATCCAGATTCCCGGGATATTGAATCTTGGAAGTTGTAGTTTTCCACGATCTTAAGCCTTCTCTGGTGCCTTGCCAAAATGCAAATCCCAGTATCCCCAGGATCCTGCAAGTTGTAGTTTTTCAAAGTCTTGAGCCTTCTGTGGCGTCTTGCCAAATTACAACTCCCAGGATACCCAGGAGATGGAATCCTAGAAGCTGTAGTTTCCCAAGGTCTTGAGCCTTCTCTGGTGTCTTGCTAAATGACAATTCCCAAGATATGGAATTCTGGAAGTTGTAGTTTTTCAAGGTCTTGAGCCTTCTCTGGTGCTTTGCCAAACTACAACTCCCAGGATTCCCAGATTATGGAATCCAGGAAGTTGTAGTTTTCCAAGGACTTGAGCCTCCTCTGATGCCTTGCCACACTACAACTCCCAGGATCTCCAGGATATGGAATCCTGCAAGTTGTAGTTTCCCAAGGACTTGAGCCTTTTCTGGTGCCTTGCCAAGCAACAACTCCCAGGATTCCCAGGATATCCTGGAAGTTGTAGTTTTCCAAGGTCTTCAACCTTCTACGGTGCCATGATATTTCCCTTAGTTTAGCCAAGAATAACAAATGCCAGGGTTTTGAAAAGAGATGTTTGGAAACATCCTTTAAAGTTCGTACTAAAACCCGAAGCGGATCAGTTGCCCTGCTGATGTGGAAGCCATTCTCTTCCACGCCCAAATTTAAGATAAACTCTTAAAAAATAATTGCAGACGTAGCAGTCTTGCCTGTCCCATCCCGGAGGCATGGGATGGTGTTTGGTGGCCAGCCAAATATGACCGTAATGTTCACATTAAAATGTAATTTGCCTCCTTTGCCCTCGTTTGCCATCAGATGTCAGCTGAAGCAGGTCGTTTACAAGGCTGGCAGGAAAATGGTACTTTTTGAAATGGAGATTGACTGCTCGGCTTCAAGCGGTGACTTGAAAACAGGTCAGATGACGCAAGGAACATTTTCTTAATGATCCCAGTATGGTTCAAGAGCCAGAATACACATCCAGTATTTACCAAGAAATATATCTGAACAGCAGCAGAGAAAACAGTGGGAAGGCGGCCAGGGAATGTCCAGAAAAGTTAAATAGGGAACTTTCAATCACATCTGTTATTTTTATTTGCAAGTCAGTTATCTTCAGCTTAGAATGATCCTATGAATGCAGATATATAGGGCATACATAAAATTAAGCAGACTAATCTTTGAAGTTTCTTTAGGAAGACATCAGAATTGAGTTCTCTAGTGATGCATCTACTTCAGGTATGAGTAAACACAGGCCAGGTGGCTGGATGTGACCGCTTCGGCTCTTTTCTCAGGCTCTCCTCTCTCTCACCATCCTATCCTTCCTTCTTTCTCTCATTCCTTCCTCCTTCCCTCCCTCTTTCTATTTTCCTTCCATCCTTCCTTTATTCCCCCACTCCCTCTTTCCTTCCTTCCTTCTTTTTCCTTTATCCTTCCTTCCTTTTTGTCTTTCCTTTCCCTCTTTCTTTCTTCTCCCCTCTTTTTTCCTTCCTTCCTCCTTTCTTTCTCCCTTACTCCCTCCTTCCTTACTTCCCTTTTGTCTTTTCCTCCCTCTTTCCTTCTTCCCTCTCTCCCTCTTTTTCCTTCCATCTTTCCCTTCCACCCTTTCATCCTTCCACCCTTCTCTCTTTCCTTCCTCCTTCCCTCCCTCTTTCTCTTACACTTCCACTCTTTCGTCCTTCGTTTCTTTCCCCCTCTCTCTTTCTCCTTCCTTCCTTCCTTCCTTCCTTCCTTCCTTCCTTCCTTCCTTTCGTCTTCCTTCTATCATTAAATCTGCTTCTTCCTGGATCTGGGGGTGGCGTACGTATTTTATCCTTCCGTCTCTTCCTAATATGCTTGCTCCATATCGCTATCTTTCTTCTCTACGATCCGTCCTGATTCAGGCACTGTGTCCTTTCTCGTAATCCACTATCTTATTATCACACTGGATCTTTTTGTCATGTTCACACCTTCAGATTAACTGTGTGTTATATACGTAGGACAGTTATATATCATCCCTCCATCTCGTATTATGTCATATATCTACAGTCATTATAATTAAAGAAGCTTCACTTCCACCCTTTCATCCTTCGTTTCTTCCCTCTCTCCCTCTTTCTACTTCCTTCCTTCTTTGTTTCCTTTATCCTTCCTTTCTTTCCTTTTCTTCCTCCCTCCCTTTCCTTTTGTCTTTCCTTCCTTCTTCCCTTCTTCCCTCTCTCCCTCTTTTTCCCTTCCTTCCCTCCCTTTTGTCTTTCCTTCCTTCCCTCTTTCCTCCCTCCTTCTGTCTCTCCCTCTTTCTTCTTCCATCCTTCTCTTTCTCCCTTCCTTCCTTCTTTTCTTCCTTTTTGTCTTTCCTTCCTTCCCTCTCTCCCTCTTTCCCCTTCCATCCTTCCCTTCCTCTTTTCTTTTCCTTCGCTTTTTCCTTCCTCTTTCACTTCCTTCCTTCAATCCATCCCTCCCTTCCACCCATTAATCCTTCCTTCCCTCTTTCCTCCTTCCTTCCTTCTTTCCCTCTTTCTCCTTCCATGCGTCTCTTCCTCCCTTCCATCCTTCCTTCTCTCTTTCCTTCCTCCTTCCCTTTGTTCCTTCCATCACCGGACAGGTACTCCTCCTAGCAGGGAGTGCTACCATGCGACCTCCAAGTTAGAACATTTGCCCATCCTTGATCTGCACTGTACAAGTAATGCGGTTTGATATCACTTTAGTTGCCTGACTCCATGCAATGGGAGTTCTACATGGTTTTTAGCCTTTTCTGCCAAAGAGGGCTGATACCTCACCAAACGACAACACCTAAGACTCCATAGCATTGACCTTCGGCAGTTCAAGTGGGGTCAAACTGCATTAATTAAACAGTGTAGATGCACGCTCCAAGGAAATAAAATATTTGCTGGTGTAGGCAGGTCCCATGGATGCTCTCAGTTTTCTGCCCCGGGGTAAAAAATGACGTCCTATGATCTGTACCTTGTAAAAAAAATATACGTCCCAATGAAACAGACTTACGAACTGCCTTGTTTCCCAGATGAATGACGCCTGGTTTTTTAAATATCCCTTTCCCACTTGGAGCCGGATGGGAGGAGAACGGCAATGAGGTAAAGGAAAGTATCCGGCCAAAATGTATGCCGATGACTTGTGGCATAAATTGTACCCATGTTTCAAGAAAGCCAGGGTTGCGTCCGCACTGCAGAATGAACACAGATCAACACTACTTGAACTGTCACAACTCAGTGCTACAGAATCAGGGTAATTGTAGTTTCAAAATATAGGTGCACCCATGGTTGCTTGGCCAATAACACTTGCTGAAATTCTCTTTTGTATACAACCATTAAAGGCATGGGAGCCCTACCCAGGTTTAAATTTGGCAACCTTAACTCTTTTGCATCTGATTACTTTTAATGCCTGCTGCAACCCACTTACACCAGAGAGATCTGGTGCCTCACCAAACTATAAATCCCAGGATCCCGTAGCATTGAGCCATGCCATGACACTGTTGAATTAATACAGTTTGTTACTACTTTAATTGCTCAAAGCTAGGAGTTGTAGTTTGCACTCTTTGGCACAGAAGGCTATAAACCAGGCATGGGCAAACTGGCCATCCAGGTGTTTTGGACTTCAACTCCCACAATTCCTAACAGCCTCAGACCCCTTCCTTTCCCCCCTCAGTCTAACCCTAACCCAAAAAGTCCAAAACAAAACCCCATGTTTTGCAAAAATTCCAAAAAACCCTCACTTTTTACAAAATTCCAAAAGAAAAACCTGCATTTGCAAAAATTTCAAAACTAATCCCCACATTTTGCAAACATTCCAAAAGAAAACCCCACGTTTGGCAAAAATTCCAAAAAACCCTCACTTTTTACAAAATTCCAAAAGAAAAACCTACATTTGCAAAAATTTCAAAACTAAACCCGACATTTTGCAAAATTTTCAAAACAAAACCCCACGTTTTGCAAAACTTCCAAAGAAAACCCCGCATTTGCAAAAATTTGAAAACTAAACCCCACATTTTGCAAACATTCCAAAAGAAAACCTCACGTTTTGCAGAAATTCCAAAAAGAATCCCTCACTTTTTACAAAATTCCAAAAGAAAACCCTGCATTTGCAAAAATTTCAAAACTAAACCCCACATTTTGCAAAATTCCAAAAGAAACCCCTACATTTTGAAAAAAT